AATACTTGAAGCAAAGAAATTGTTATATTTCCAAAAATGCATTTACAACAGGGGAGCATTTACAAAGCCTTTCCCCTAGGAAACTCTTGCACAAAAAGGAAAAAAGACGACCTAAGTCTACTCCTCACCCCCACTGCCCTCGGAACCAACGTCGGAACCCTCATCTGGAGTAGCCGAAAAGGCAGACTCTTCCTCTAAGGTTCGTGCTTCCTTGATCTCAGCTGAGATATCGGTGTCCTTATTACTCGCTTCCTCAAGAGCCTGCCTCCTCGCTTGCGCACGAGCATAAGTAACGGCTCGGACTAGCTTCTACTCGGCCTTCACCAGTATCTCTCGAGCTCGTTCATTCGCAGTGGTGGCATCTTTCTTATACGAGGATGCCTTTTCTTCTGCCACAGACTTAGCCGACGATAATGCAGCAACCTCCTCCTTGGCACTCTGCAGAAGGTCCCGGGTCGACGCCAGCTCCATCCGCAGAAGGTCCCTCTCTGAGGCCACAATCCCATTTTGTCCCCTCAAATCGAGGACCTCCGCATCGTTGGCAACTGCCTCCTCTTGGAGCTGCTCCATGAGGACATTTTGTTTCCTGACCTGCAAGGGAAAAAGAAAGTTGATAAAACACCAAGTTACAAGAACAAAGGGCAAGTTTGCAAATACGGCATTACCTGCTCGGCAAGGTCATATTTTTCTCGGCACATTCCATTCAACCTCGCCCGGAGCCCACTCAACTCCTCCTTTTTTCGGGCAGAAGAGGTCTCCAACTCCTCTAAACCCGAGGTGAGATTCTCGACCTCCTTCCCACGGCATACAAGCTCATCTCGCAGCTTAGAGATAGCATGATCATATATCTTCTTAGCCTACAACAAAACACAAGAGTCAGAAAAATGAAGAAATGCTTGAAACACGAAAAGTAGGCATAGAAAGGTATCACCTGCTGCTGGAGCCTCTCCGCCTTCTCGATAGCACCGAAAGCGTCAAGATCATGTCCTCACCGACACCATCAAGGAAGTTTCCAAGCACACCTCCCCCCTCGTGAGGGACTCCCACATTGGTGACATATTTGTTCTGCGCATCCCTAAATTCCCCCGGTGGAATCGAGGACCCAAATTAAGGCCATCCAGGACTTTGATGTCTCCGAAGGGCAAATCATGTCCCCGAAAAGCTCCGAGCCCAGGCCCTTTGGAGTCATCAGCAACGAGTTCGTTAACAGGGACTGTACCACGTCCGGCTAGGAACTCAGGGACCGTATCCGCACCCTCCTCGAGGGCCATCACAACATGGGCTCGAGCCGAATCGACCACTCCCGATTCAGTGGCCCTTGGCCCAGCCACCTGCGGGGCATCCGTGCCCGACCTCGTCCCTTGTACCAAAAGGTTCTCATCATCATCGTCATCTTCATCCTCAGTACCGGGACTTGCCCCAATAGCTGAAGTCGAGACCTTGGCATCAGCTCAGGGCCTGCGTGATTTGGGTTTCTTTGACGTAGGAGATTTAGCAGCCTTCTCCTTCTTCCCTTTTTTACCCTTATCGGACTTCGAGGTCTCTTCCTCGCCATCGGGAGGCGGTCTCATCAGCACCCATCGCCAAGCCCTACAAAGGCATAATACTCAAAGCTTGACAACACGAAGGGTGTGCGAAAGAGATATTGAAACATGGTAGAAGCGACAACAAAAGTCTTACCCGTGATTCATGGCCGGCCATCACATTTTAGCCAAGTCGGGCTAAGAATGCTTGAGATAAGGGAACAAAGTATTCATTTGACTAATCCACCCCGACAGGTCCTGGACCGCTTCGGGATACCAAACGGCAGCTGCATAAATAAAGGAAAGATCATTTTTTGAGAAGAAGGTAAGAAGACAGTAAAGCGTGTTCGAGGGAGAGGTACTTACTCTCCATATTCCACTTATCAGGGAATGGCATCCTTTCGGCCGGGATGACGTCCGAGGTCCTCACTTGGACAAACCTGCTCATCCATCCCCGATCCTTGTTCTCATCAATGACCGAGAAAAACGGCTTCACGAATCGAGGGTGAAGCTTAATCAAACCTCAATAAAGATGAGGGCTATATAGTCTAATCAAGTGGTCAAGGGTAAAAGTCATACCCTCGACCGTGTTGGAGAAATAACTGAGCATATAGACTATCCTCTAGAAAGATGGGTAAATTTGGCCGAGCGTCACTTGGTACTTCTGACAGAAGTCGAGAATAACCGGATATATCACAGGGGAAGAAGGATCTGAAGAATTGACGGGACCCAAAGTGAATGGGTACATATATACATGAAGAAAGCTAGCCTTGTAGTCCGTTATGCTCTCATTAGAACGGGGAATCTCAACCAGCACTGTCCTTTCCCATTGACAATCTTCCTTCACTTTTTGTATATTAGTCACGAAGCTAATATACCGGGACACGTGTTCGCATAAGCCCGGCGTAGATGAGGGTCTCTCGATAGAAAAATCGTTCACAGTGTCGAACTCAGTGGGGGTACACTATTCAACGGTAGGGGCCACTTTGGTTTTTCCCTTGGATGTTCGAAACGAAGAGGCAGCACCCTCTTTTCAAGGCACTATTTTAGAGGTTCTAGCCATGGTGGTGGAAAGGTCTTTCTGAGAAAGGAAGTGAGGAACCAAGAACGGAAGATAGGAGAGTATGAAAAGGGATGACCTTGGCTCTAACACTAATACAAAAAGGACCTTTGGCGGCATTATTTAGCGGCAATAAGGCAATGTTAGCTAATAAATTCTTTAAGCTTAAATATTAGCGGCATATGACCATTAGCCAGTAAAAGATATCCTTTTACCGGCAATAAAAAATAATAGCCACTAAAAATTACTAATTGTAATTAATATTTTATTATTTTAACTTTCACTCCGCACAAAGAAGAGAAAATCTTTCCCTCCAATTTTTTTGATACCTTTTTTAGTTTCTCTCCCCAATTAGAATTAGAAAATAATTAGAAAATAACATAAGGAAAACATTGAATCGTTTCCCTTACTAGTTTAATCGACTTCGCGGAAAAAGCCCTAGCTAATTCGCTGCTGCATCAACCCCGGTGCGCGGAAACGCTGCATCAACGCCAGTGCGCCCTAGCTAATTCGCTGTTGCATCAACGCCAGTGCGCGAAAACGCCAGTGCGATTTATAGTGCGTCAACGATTGTGCACATCTTCTTCCCAGGTAAATTCTCTTCTCTTCGATTTTACAATTGATTTACAGAAGATCAGTTTGATTGACAGAAGACAGTGCGTCAATGGCAGTGTTAACTTCTCTTCGTCCAATCAATTTACAGTAGATTTACAGTAAATCAGTTCCTTGCAATCGATTTACAGTAGATTTTGTATTGATGCTGGTCGATTGATTTACAGTAAATCAGTTCCTAACTCGTTGTTGCGTCAACAGCCTGTTGTAGTGCCGGTCCATCTTCTTCCCCTGTTAACTTCTCTTTTTCTCCTGTTAAATCAGTCGCCTGCAATCGATTTACAGTAGATTTTGGATTGATGCTTGTCGATTGATTTCGAACAAAACAAAGTGAAGAGTTCAATGTGACACAAAATAGTGGTGTTATGGTCGTTTTAAAGACTGAAAGTTATGCAAGTACAAGTGATAATGCTCCAAAATCTGCAAATATCACATATTATGGCAGATTGAATGATATTGTGGAGTTAAACTACTATGAGAAATTTAAGGTCATCTTATTTAAGTGTGATTGGGTTGATGTAACCAAAGGTAGAGGAATTAAGGAAGATGACTTGGGTTTCACACTTGTGAATTTCACACACCTGACAGACTCTGGCGATCGACAAATAGACCAAGTCGCATACCGAGGGACCAATGGAGTGGTCTTGTCGCTTATTGGCTTTCAGATAAAGCTAAGGTATTAACAAATCTTTAAAACACCTCAAGTTGATTATTTTCAGTGTTTTAATTCTAGTTATGCTCAATTTTTATGTATAATTTATAAGATATCATTTAATATTTCAACGATAGAGGCGTTCCCAAGCAAATAGAAATAATAGGGCCAATCAAAAGATGCCTCACACAGGAGGATCCAAAAGTATTGCTACCTTGATGGATGAGCGGGTAAACTTGTTCAAATTACTAACTATAATGTTTTAATTTTTTTTTCACGTATATCTTACATCAATTTTATTGTATTAGGCTGTAAATGGGATAGAGCCTACACAAGCACAAGTTTTCATATTAACTCATACAAAACGTAAGGATGGTAGACCACTGGATGATGATTCTGTCAAGGCAATTGTAAGATTTCTTTTTTTCTTTTATTTTCTTAATTGGGAAATAGTTAGGAAAAAACATAAAAGCGAATAAATGAACTCCAAATTGGATTTATGTATTTTATGGACAGGAAATGATAAATGAAAGGACGAACAATAGTGAGAGCTCTACTGACCAACCTCCACGCGTTGTTGCTTAGGAAGGCGATGTGTATTCTCAGGTGTTCGGAAATGACAAAAGTGGATATGTTCGTGGTTTAGGACTTGGTCCAACTCTTTCTGGTCTATGGGGTAGTAGATCTTCCTTAGAAAATATTGTTGTAGAGGATTCGTCTACTGAAGCTGTCCAAAGGTTAACACAAGAGATAACCGAGTTAAAGGATAAACACAATGAAGAAATGAATCTGATGAAACAAAATCAGGAGAAGATGCAATCAGAATTACTCGAAATGCGACAATTGATGCGCAAATATGCTTCCGATGAATCTATGCCTCAAAATATCAATGGCACCTCAATTGAACAGGTAACACGATTTTATAAGTTATGTACATTATTAATGAAGTTTTAATCCTATACAAGTATTGTTATCTGGTATGTTAATATTTATCAGGTCCCTACTGCCAATACTGGCCATGAACGAGTACCACAAACATCAAGGATACCTAATGTTGCTGAAAATACTTCAATGTCTCATGGTATTACTCATCTATATCCTTCGGCAAGCTACTATTTATGTTTTCTATTGTTTGATCAAACTTCTGCAAATTTCACCTGCTCAATATGCCTAGGAGATAAATCTCCTTGTTTAGTACATTGAGAAAATTCTGTGCAGTTGACTCCTCATCCAGGTCTTTGTTTGTCTGATCTTCTTGCATTTCAACTCCTTTTGCCCCATCTGTAGCCCAAAGATCTGTGTTCTTCTGCATGTCAATCACTTGTTTGTTACATGTGTTGTTGTCATTTTGGAATTGGAGTGTTTCCAATGGAACAGTAACCTCTGCTGCAATCTGCACCTTGGCTGCCTGTTTGTTTGGATCTACTCTATTATATTTTGATTTAGCAGTACTATCCCCTGCACCTTCTTGTCCTGTTTTGCTCTGATTCATACCCTCTATAGCTTCCTCTCCTCTGCCAGTAGTGGAAAATAATTGGTTGTAAGATGAAAAAGTGTCAAATTCAGTATGCTGATGTGAGCACCACCTATTCTATTCAACTTACTCTACCTATAGTGATAGTGATAACTATGTTTATTCAAGAAGTCAACTATGTTAATTCTTGGAGCCTACGGTAAATAAAATAAATACTAGCTGGATCTGGGAATCTTAGAATATAAATGCTTTTTTGGATGGTCAGACAAGCTCCAGAATTAGTCATAATTCCATCTTGTTTGTTACTGTGAAGCTAACAATTCTGGTAAGAACATGCCTATTCATAGATAAAATAAAATTAACTGCCCAGTTTCACTAAGTAATTTGGTTGCGAAATACATTACTCCTACTTGCTAATGCAGAAGTAGATTTTATTAATGTTAACTGTGAATACTTTTGACAGCCTATTGCGGCAGTTTCGTTCTTCAAGAGTCTCATATGTACAATAAGCATTATTTCAAAGCTTGCAACAGAGTTCAACACACAGCAAAATTCTTCTTCTCTCAACAAGAACTCTGAACTCATGATATAAGCATCAACTCTTGCCATTAGTTTGCAACTCCTTGTTACTACCATCCTCATTCATTGAATTCACAACTACACTTGTCAGCTTACACGGTTCGGCCTCTTCTATCATATGAACTACCATCCTCATCGATGGTCTTAATGATGGTGTCCTAGCTGTGCAATGAACTGCAATTCTAAGAACCTCGACAACATCTTTCTTGAACCCCTCCAAAATGCTTGAATCTACCAAGTCAATCGTGCTACTTTTGTTTCTTATCTTGCTACATACGCACTGGACTATGTCATTGTTTTCCCCGTACTCTGCATCCACGGGCTTCTTTCCGGTCACCAATTCCATTAGTACCACTTCGAAGCTGTAGACATCACTCTTCTCGGTCACCTTGGTTGTGTAAGCATACTCTTTTGTCCCAAACAATAAAGAAAAAGAACAAAAAATTAAAAAATTACCAAAATTGTTTTCAAGTAACAATGACATGAAAAGGGAAGAGAAAAATATGTACCGGGAGCAATGTAGTCGTGCGTCCCAGCTACAACCTGAGAAGAGTCTTTAGTCATTGACCTGCAAAACCTTAGCTAGTCCAAAATCAGCAATTTTGGGCTTCATCTTTTCATCTAACAAGATGTTGCTAGACTTGACATCACAGTGCATAACAGGTCTGTCATAGCCGTGATGTAGATACTCCAGCCCCCGAGCAGCACCTAATGCAATGTTATATCGCACCAACCAATCCATCTTGACTTTTTGTGATGTGTGCAACCGGTCCCATAAACTTCCATTAGGTAAGTATTCATAAACCGACAGATTAGAGACTTGTTTTCCAAAATTTCAACCTAGGTGCATTGGAACTATGAGCTTGGTTTCCAAGTAGTTAAGTCCCCAGCTTACTCATTGAATTATTTCGTCGAACACCTAACTTTTCAACTAATACTAGGCTACCTTGTCCTCCTCGATCCTTGTTGGGCATTAGTACCAGTTGTTTGGACATCCCACTATCATGTAGAACTATTGCATAAACTTCAACGTCCCCAACAGTAGCTAGAGCCTCGAAAGAATTTGAGCTGGACCCAACATTGAAGTCAATTCGTCGAACACCTTTGTTCTGTTGTTTTGGTGAGACCATGTTCTTTATGGGGGATTTTTTACTTGTTACCAAGTTCCAATCTCCTTTCTTTTTATTCATATCAGCTTTCTTATCATCCACAATCACCTTCCCACTTTTATTTTCCACCAATAAGCTTTTATTCCCCACTATTTCAATCCCAGAAATCTGGGCAGCAGCTTCTTTATCANCATAGCTTTATCCCCACTATTCAATCCCAGAAATCTGGGCAGCAGCTTCTTTATCAGAGATTTGCTCTGCATTTTTGTTCTGATCAACTGCAGTTGGTTGCTGAGACTTCTCAGCCTCACTACCACTCTTATCTGCCTCAGAAACAATTATCATGTCTCCTACTGCATTAGTTTGATCTCCAGTTGGCTTATCTGTTGCCTTACCAAAAGTTCCTTCTCCAACCTGTGCAATACCAGTATTCGTAACCTGCTGAACCACATCTACACTATGTGATATTTTAGCCTCTAAATTACTAGCCTTAGCACCTGGGGAATCCCATTATTTAGTACCCCCATTACCTTCCTGTAACTGCCCCTTAGAGACTTGTTCAACAGCTGCCAATTCCTTACTAATTTGTACAGATGCATCAACACGATTAGCAGCACTCTTTGATCCTATACCAATTGACAGNAGTAGGGGGAAAATAATTGCTTGTAAGATGAAAGTGTGTCAAATTCAGTATGCTGATGTGAGCACCACCTATTCTATTCAATTTACTTAACCTATAGTGATAGTGATAACTATGTTAATTCAAGAAATCAACTATGTTAATTCTTGGAGCCTACGGCAAATAAAATAAATACTAGCTGGAAATCAGGAATCTTAGAATATAAATGCTTTTTTGGATTGCTATGTTACTGTGAAGCTAACAATTCCGATAAGAACATGCCTGGCTTCAGTGTTATCTACAGCAGAACCTTTTTCTTCAGGTGTGTTTTTGACCTTTTCTCTGTTTCGAAACAGAGTAATTGCTCTGTTGGGAGACTGAGTGTGTTCTGCTACAACTGCTGCATAATTGACCAAGCTTTTACTCCTTTGGTCGTTTGAACATCCTGTGATTGCTGTAGCTGTTTCGATGCTTTTCTTTATTGTGTCTGCATTTGCATCTGACACATATTCCTCTCTCCAGATTTCAATTTGAGACTGTGTGATAGTCTCAATTCTTGCCATTGAATCAATGTTAACAGTATTATCATTAACACTTTGATCTTCCTCCTCTATAACCTCCTGATTAGCTTCAGCTTGTCAGTAGATCCTCCTACCTGTTGTGAATGGCATTGTATAGCTTTCATTGACATGTTCTTACTGTCAGAATTTACACATTATGATGTCTTTCTGTATTAACATGTTCTTAGATCCTCCTACCTTCAACTAGTGTCTTTCTGTATTAACACATCATTAATTTTTTTTACAGTTTATCTTCTTTGTATTTTGGGATTTCATTCGTAGTTTTCTTCAAATAACTTTTTGGATTTATCTTCTCTTCTGCACCAGAATTATTCCATTATGATGCCTTCTCAATTTCTGTCTTTTTTTCCTTTTTGTCTATCTGGTTGCCTTCTGCTTTAACAGCCGAAGTTTCCTTTGAATCCTCTCTCGCAAACTCTTTTGCCATGGAATCTGCAGTCCCTGAATATGAAAGTAGCTCCAACCTCCCAGTTGTGGACACTTTTTGCTCTTTGGGTTCAATTTCTATTTACAAAGAAAAGACTTACAAAAAAACTGGCTAACCTCTACTGCGTATTTCAGAAACAACCTCTACTGTGGCATTGTTAATTCCTTTCTGGCATCGAGCAAATTCTTATTGTTCAGAATCTTGATTTCCAAACTCTTCTCCTCTTTCATTTTGTTGTTGCCCTTCTTCTGCTTTATCATCAGTAGAAGTGTTGAGACCGAACAAAGCATAGTATCTCCGGGGATCAACATTAGTTCTGCGTATTTCAGAAACAACCTCTACTGTGGCATTGTTAATTCCTTCTGGCATCGAGCAAATTCTTGTTGTTCAGAATCTTGATTTCAAACATTAGTTCTCTTCTTGTGTTCCCTGTATGTACTATTTAATGTGTATGATGAGCTGCTCTTCTTGGTAATTTTCAGTTCTTCCATATTTCCAGCTGCACAGTGCTGCCTCGTCCAACAAAAACTGGACTGTATCGTGTGACTTTGCTGCATCTTCCATCTGATTCTGTGCATTCCCTCAGTAGAAAATTGTAATTCTTCTGCTTTGTTCTTGCCTGGCTCCCTGTATGGTTTGAGAGAGTCAAATTGTATCCTACACTGATCCACAAATAATTCTGTCCTGCAGTTTTGCATTAGCAGTGCACATACTAGCCTTAGCACCTGGGGAATTCCCATTATTTAGTACCCCATTACCTTCCTGTAACTGCCCCTTAGCGACTTGTTCAGCAGCTGGCAATTCCTTACTAATTTGTACAGTTGCATCAACACGATTAGCAGCACTCTTTGATCCTGTACCAATTGACAGAATTTTTGTAGCACTAGCCAATTTGACAGAATGCTCAAAAGGCTGATTTGATATGTTTGCTTGTATGATATGCATTTACAAATATACTAAAATACTTCATACATGAGACTATACATACTTTTGGGACATTAATGAAGCAGATTCTTGCAATTTTTTTTGTGTCCCTTTCTGGTTATGGACTTTTAGTTTCATAACCTCGCAAACTATTATCAGCTTTGTTGTTTGGCAACATTTACTTCCTATTGACATAGTTATTTTATAATTTCAGGTCATACAGTCTGATGTTCGATAATTTAGCGGGTGGAAGATTTCAATATGACGAAGAGTTTCAGAGATTATTTGAAGATTGTTATTCGTTAAGATTAGTTATATAGTGACATTAGCTATTTACTTCAAACAATATGAGTTATTTTTTAAGGTTTTGTGATATTAATATTTTGGATTATTAGTGCTTCCTTTTGTTCGTTAAGATTTAACGATATATACTATAGTTTTATGAATTAATATCAATATGTTTTGTTATTTGCATTATTTTTTGGTCGAATGTAGTAGCTATTATTAATGGTGGCTAAACTTACCGTTATAGCTTGTGAATTTTAGTGCCAATTTAACAGGATTAAGACGTTTATACAGGGATATTGTAGCCATTATATTGCTATTAAAGATGATTTTTAGCGGTAATTTAATTGACTTTGCTATCCATTAAAATGGACGCTAAAGGGGCATACTAATATGTTTTTAGAAGAGATATTGTTGCCAATTTTATTGCCACAAAACAATTACTGCTAAAGGTATGGACTTTCAGCGATAAATATTTTAAATTTAGCGGCTATAAAAATGGACGTTAAAGGAGCATTATTAGTCGTTTTTAGAATGGGTTTAGCAGCCATAATAATTGCCGCAAACAATTGCCGTTAAAACAGATGAGTTTTAGCGGCAATAAATCATACCTTTTACCAGCTTATGGCAGAAATGCCGCTAAAGGCTTTACCGACCCCGGCATCACCGACTAAAGATCAATTGCCGGTAAATGTTATAGCGGCTATTGTTATTGCCGCCAATGCTGTTTTTTATTGCCACTAAAGGTCCTTTTTGTAGTAGTGTAAAAGTTTTAAGATGATGTAAAAGTGTGAATCACTAAACGATTGAGGTATTTATAGAAGCCATATGGGCAGCAGGAAAGACGAACCAATAGTAGTTCGTGGGCTTCTCGATAGTCGTGTTGACAGCGACCCTTGTGCGGCTTTTTGAGTTATGGCATTTAATGCCCTGATAGGCTGACGTCATGATGGTAGTGCCTAAGAAGTAGGAGTTCAAAACCGTTTCCTATCATTTTATTCTAGGAAATACGGGGACTATCTGTATACGGTAAAAATCAGTGGTTCGATTTTATGATCATTAAGGCGCCTCGTAAAGACCGCCCCTAGAAGGCTCAAAGTTCGCCTCGGGTTTCGACCCTGAGGGTTCTCAACAATCGACCTCGAGGCAGTGCAAACCAGCGGCTACGATGCACTAGCGGAAAGTTCCCAAGGCATATGAATAAAGCTGACCGAGTCTAATAGGCTAGCTCAAGCCCGTACCATGGCATTTAATGGTTGTACCAGCTCCATATCTTTGAATAAATGCATTTGTACTATGTTAGGATTCCCCCTCATCTATAAAGGGGACCTTTGTCATTTTGTAAAGACAAGTTACAATATACAACACACTACATTCAATACAAGAACATTCTCTAGCTTAAACACATACTCTTGGTTTCATTATTTACATTTATTGCCTATATTCATTATGTTCTATTAATTATTCATCATTTTATTGCTCATTATTGATCATAAAGAGCCGCCATCGTAGCTCTCATAACTGTTAATCCTTCATCGACAGCCCTTAGCCGGGCATCCGACTCGACCTCGAGGCCCCGTATGCGCAAGCTCGAGGCTTCGATTCCCAGCCATTCGGTTTGATTATTACATCATCTGCAAGCTATTATCTTATTTTCCAATCTTTCACTTAGTATCTATTGCCTAACAACTAGCATAAAAATAGATCACGTATTTTTCGAACCACGGAATCAAATCTTATTGTTATTACCATTTTCAAGTTAAATAGTTATGGAACCTGGTTAAGATACATCTATTGTCACGACCCATTTTCTGAATAAGTCGTGGCCAGCACCCGGTCACTAAATTTGACCGAGCGAACCATCTGTGCTTATCAAAACTATTATAACCTCAAACTTTATATGCAAAAAGGAAATACTTTAACCAAATACTTTTTATTAATTTTAAGTATCTAAAATAAACCAGCTCCAAAAATTTTATTCGTAGTAACCAATGAAATACAGCTATGTTATTATCAAAACATCTGAATCTTAACCCACCAACTGTGTCTATGAAGCCTCTACTGATAAACTGATGCACTGCTCAGGACATGAGATTTCCTGGCCATTTCTCTAAGTAAATAAAGAAATAGCAAAATAATGACGACTCAAAGGAGTACTCCACGAACAAAAGTGGAGCTCACCAAC